ATAATTTCTCCAAACTACAGTTTGGGGAACTAGAGAATTTATTAGGCTTCCAACAGAATGAAGGGTAAGGAGGTTACTTACAGAAGTGTGGGCACCAGTGGGCTCCCTTCTACATTGCAGCCCTGTGACCTCTTGGTAGCTGCCCCAGCTGGCAAAGGCCATCTCCTCTCTTTGGCTTCCCTGTTCCTATCTTTAGTATATCTCCCATGTACCACTTGGGCCAGCTGGTTGAATAGAAGGCACGACTGACTCTCTCTGCCCCTCCCCTCCTATGAAAAATTTGTTTGTGATGATTAAAGCAAGCAGGTGAATCCCAGCTTGAGAAGAAGGCTTCTGTCCACAGCTTGCCAGTCTAGCTTGCCAGGCAGAGGACAAGTTCATACAACAGCATGGGATATCTTTTCATTTGTCTGTGTTTTCTTTTATTTCTTTCATTTACATTTTGTAGTTTGGGCATAGATTAACTGCTAGAAGTTATCCCTAAGTATCCTGTCCTTTTTTGATGCTCTTATAAATGGGATTGCTTTCTTAATTTCCCGTTCTGATTTTTCTTTTGTCAGCGTGTAGAAACACAATTTTTGCTTGTCAATTTTGCCTTCTGCCATGTCATGGAATTCACTTACTATTTCTTTTCATGAGTTTTCTTTAAGATTTTCTACATATAAGATTATGTCATCTGCCAACAAAGATAATTGTACTTCTAATTCGGATATGCTACTACTTTCTCTGAATTATTTTGGATTTGACTTTGAGTACCAGAAGTACTTGAATCAAAGTTACAGAGTGGACCCTCCTGCCTTGCTCTCAATCTTAAAGGAAAAGCTTTCAGTATCTTAGTGCTGAACATGCTGCTCATGATAGGCTTCTCTTACTGAGAACTTAAATGGGAAGAACATTTGACACATAGTGTCATTTAATCTCCACACTATAAACTGAATATCATTCTCATTTACTAATCTGAAAATTGTGTTAGTTATTTTTCTGTTGCTGTGATAAACACCTTGATCAAGGCAACTTATAGAAGGAAGAGTTTGTCTTATTATTCCAGAGGGATAAGAGTCTATAATGGCAGGGGAGGGATGGAGGAAGAGGTGGCTGGAGCAGAAAGCCAAGAGCTCACATCTTCAAGCAGGCACAGGAAGCAGAGAGTGACTGGAAATCTGGTAAGGTTTAAGAATTCTCAAAGCTGGCCCTTTTCTACAACAAGGCCACACCTCCAAAAACCTCCCAAAACAGTTCCACCAATTGTGGACAAAATGTCCAAATACTTGGAGCCTATAGGGAAATCCTCATTCAAATCACCACATGAGGTTTGGGCAGTTTAAATAACTTTCCCAACTCACAGAGCTAAATAGTACAAAAGGCTACAGAATTACCCAGGGAAGGCCCATACTTTTTATTGGTAGGAATAACATTGGCCTAGGAGCCATGCTAGTGTGAAATTGATCATTAAGTGAACTAACTGCCTCCTAAAGTCCAACATCCTTTCAATGACTACAACATTATCCAACACTGGCCAATTCAAAATTCATAAGGAAAAGTATCCAATACAAATTAACAGGCATATGAAGAGGCAGGAAAATGAGACCATAATCAGAAGAAAAACATATCAATAAAAAGATCTATAAATTATATAGATGGTAGGTTTGGACAACAGTGATTTTTAAACATTTTAGTCCTCTATTTTAAGTGTGTGTGTGTGTGTGTGTGTGTGTGCGTGTGTGTGTGTAAATGTGTGCACATGAATACAGGTACCTGCAGAGTCCAAAAGAGGGCATCAGATTCCCTGGAACTGGAGTTATAGGTGGTTGTGAGCTACCTTACATATGGGCTTGCAACTAACTTTGGTCTTCTGCAAGAGCTGTACACACTCCTAACCACTGAGCCATCTTTCCAGCCCCAAGGTGGTGATTTCAATGCAACTAATAGACATATGTTCATTATGCTCTAGAATATAAAAGAAGGGACTGGGCTCTATTCAGTGCCAAAAATGGAGGGTGGTCTAGTTCAGAAATAAGTTATAATAAACTCATGATGATGACAGTGATGATAATGATTATGGTAATTAATAATTTCATAATCCCTTGTCTACAACTATAAGATTCATAAAGCTTTAAAACTCAAAAGTTTTAAAATAGTGACAAACTCACACCTGAGTTAATCTGAGACTATTATCAAGATATACTGTGTTTAAGTGTTCATGTGTACCACTGCAGAAATACAAATGCATTTGATTTGGGGGTACTGTAGATATTATACAAGATATACTATATCCACCTTATTTCTATTTTGAAATCAAAATAATTCTGAATCTAAAAAAACACATGTGGTGCCGCGTGTGGTGGTGCATCCCTTTAGTCCCAGCACTCGGGAGGCAGAGGCAGGCAGATCTTTGTGAGTTTAAGGCCAGACTGGTCTACAAAGTGAGTTCCAGGCCAGCTGGAGTACAGGGAGATCCTGCCTCAGGAAGACCAAAAATAAATTTTTTTAAAAAACGTGGCCAGACATGGTGGTACACATCTTTAATCCCAGTAGTCAGGAGGCAGAGATAGGTGGATCTCTGTGATTTCAAGGTCAGCCTGATCTATATAACAAGTTCCAGCTCAACTGAGTCTACAGGGAGACCCTGTCTCAAAAAAAATGTAACTAACGATTTCAGAAAGGCATTGGGGGCCTGTAATATAATTAATTAGTATGTAGAGAGAACGTCTAATGTTCCAGGAGCTATTCTAAGCATTTTCTATTTGCTAAATCATTTGACTTAATTAGCATAATTGCAGTGTTTCCAAAACCAGGGCATCTCTGAAAGGATGTGCAATCCAAGAATGCTTGCAGAAAAGAAATAAAAGGAAACAAATGCCATGCACTGGAGAGCTTTGTTATCTCTTCCTACATCGCTTGAAAAAAAAATCACAGATCTGTCTTCTACATAGAAGATGTGCTTTGGGTGGGCCCATGGCACATGGAAGTGAGTTTTTAAATAGTTAATCTTCCTTGTGAGGAAGGTTATAATCATACCATAAGTGACCAAGGCAAGGGGCCAAATGTAAAGAACTCTTCCTATGCTGTTTTCTTGAAAACACCATGAGAAAAACTTGTGAACAGAAAGAAAATAAGTAAAAGAGAATTAAAATCTAAATTACATTTCAATCAATAATCACATCATTAGACAAATCATATTCTATAATTCTGATGGGTTGCTTCTTGAATAGTAAATATATATTATATATAGGCTTATAAAACTCACTGTACAAAATGAAATTTTTATCTGATGAGAGGGAGTTCACTTTTCTACAAATATTTATTGGTTTCTAAGAAGAATGACTGAGAACAGAAATCATATTAATTACCACTTTAATCCTTTTCTTTAGTTATGTACTTTCTGGTGCATAGAATATCTAAATCAGATCAATGGGAAATTGATTGTCATGCCAGGCTTGAATAGCAAAATAACACCAGTTAACCTAATATCCCATATTACTGACTGTGCACCATTATGTAGAAAAGGAAGTCTGAACAGGTCTCCGCTGTGTGACATATCACCATATTACACTGATTACAAGCTTACAGTCTTGACATCTACAAATAATATATGTCCTCAATTTCAAGAGCTATGCAAAGATAAATTTAAGAATTGACAAAAGAACAGTCACTCCCCTTGCTCCCTAACACAGTATAAAAGAAAAGAAACTTATCAAAATTGAGAAAGGAAGCAGTATTATCTCTATTTACTTAATTTTTTAGAACTAAAACAAGTTCAAGGTATAATACATCTTCATCATTCAATCCTTACCAGTGGTTTAGAAAATTGAAGCATATTTGGTTTGAGGATACAAGACCAATTTATTGACAAGATTTACAAGAAACACAGATTTCTTATTACATCCAGAAGCAGTCCCAAATAAATTCGCTATTGACCCTATGTCTTCTTATTTCCACATTCAGTAGTATGTAAGAGAAAGCATCAGAGGCAATGATGGTGTCTCTACCTACTTTAAACAAAGAAGTTTTATTGTGTGTTAAAAAATATAGTGATTGGGGCTGGAGAGATGGCTCAGAGGTTAAGAACACTGGTTGTTCTTGCAGAAGACCTGGGTTTGAATCCCAGCACCCACACAGCAGCTAACAACCATCCGTAACTCCAGTCCCAGGGGATCCAACAGCCTCTTCTGACCTCCTCGGGCATTGCA